GGGGGGTGGGGTAGGCGGGGGTGGGTGGTCCTCAGGATCAGCCCTCCCTGGGGCAGCTCCTCGGAAGGGAAGCCTTGTTCGGGAGGGATGCGGGTCGCCGAGGCAAGGTTGTGTTTGCCGCTGAGTGACGACGCCTGGCGGGCGGAGGGTCTTCAGGGTGAGCTCCTGCCCAGGTGGCTTTCCAGACACACCAGCAGCGTCACTGAGGGGACAGTAGTGCCACCCGCACTCCAGGGTAGCTGAGGGGATGGTAGACTGGTGACATGCACTTCATTTACGATGTAGGTCACCCGTTTGGCTATCCATCAGCACCCGGTCCATCTGTGGGGTGACAGTTGGGTGCACATGGCGGCTTTGGAGAAGATGTGGGGGTGGGGACCAGTGGAAACCTCCAGCATTTAATGAGGGGTTGCCATTGCTGAGCTCCCCCTCTTCCTACCTTTTTATAACACATATGAGCGATTGCCAGTGAATAATTTCTCTTCCAGTGTCAAATCATGCCCAGAACGACTGTCAGCCTGGACACAGGAAATGTCAGGGGGGCCTTGGAGTCAGTGTCCCCCTCCTCCCCCCGGAAAGGCCTGCCCCACAGCACGTGCTGAGTGCGAGTCGAGTGTATCACCTGGCTCAGTGTGTCCTCAGGGGGGTGTGCGTGTGCGTGTGCGGGCGTGTGCAGTCGTGCTGATGCAGGTAGCGTCCGTGGTTGCGATGTCAGCGCTAGTCTGTGGGACCTGAACCGAGGCTGGGGGATGAGCTCGCCATGTGTGTGGCGAATGGTCCGTGGCCTTCTCTTTCAGGAGTTAACGCCGCCCCGGGGGTCCGGGATGGGAGACGGGCCGTTGGGGACTGCAGCATGGCTGGTGAGTGAATGGACCGGGACTGGGACCTCCCCGTGGCTGCGATGTGCCTCTTCGGAGTCATTACCACTTAGAACCCAGCCTCTCCCTGGGCCGATGTCAAGTCCATGGTCATTTCTCGGGGAGAGGTGCTCTGTCATCTCGCTGTGACTGTTTCCCGGCTTTACTTGACTGTGAGGACCCTGACGGACCGATGCTTTTCAGGGCCAGCTCCTGCCTCAGGTGCAGTCCGGCCATGGCACCGACCTCAGGAGGGACGTGGGCGCCGCCGTCGGTGAAGGTCTCCGTGTGATGTTCTCCGAGGGCACCGGCTCCGTCTGGCACGCGCGTCTCCTGCCCGGTAACCCAGGTAGCGCTCCATCCCTAGGATGGCTTCTGGAGCCAGGCCCCCGCGGGGCAGTTTCTGTCTCCCCTCCCCCCGAGGGCGTGTCCCCGTTTGTCCTCAGGAAGTCGCCCGAAGTGACCAGCCTGGAGAAGCGGCGTCCCTGCGCTCGACCTGCGGTGCTTAGTGAGAAGTTGCGCGCGTCTTTTTCGCTGTACTTGTGACGAAACATTCGCGGTGCACTTCTCTTTCA